CTGTTTCTGTGCACGGAGTGAAGCAGGGAACACCATAGAGAATAACTGTCCATTTTCAAACACTGTCCGATCCAAGGTGCATGTATATGGCTGAAGGATCCTGTCATATACTAAATGTAGGGATAAGTTTTTCAAATTATTTTGCCATATACTTCATTAAAAAAAAAAATGAATATATTTCCTTTGAAAATTTGATAAAAGTTATGAGGTTGGCCGTTGTAACACACTCATGGAATGCTTGCATATTGCAGAAGCAGCTACAACCCCTCCATCACTATATTTTCCTAGCATATCTACAAATCCACATTTTTTTTATTCATCAGCTTTCAGGTTTATTGAGGGACAGAAACATTTAAATATGCTCTTCCTTTATATTCATTCAGGTAATAAAAAAAAATAAAAAAAAATAAAAAAAATTCTCAGTACTCTGTTTCTATATGCCTCCTCTCCAGATGTATTGATTTTCAGCAGCAAATAGAGAGCCTTGCATAATGTGTCTGTGGTAAATCCATTAGTTACCAGTAATCTGGGTCAAAGATGCAAAATTAATTGTTTTGTTATATTAAATAAGAAGGAACTATTAGAGACCAAAGTGCACTATTCACTTGTTAAATCTTAAATTAGGCAGTAAATATGAAGGATGGTAATGTTCTTATTAAAGGAACAAGACAGCGTTTGGAATACAAATGTTAGCCTACCTACTGGGATTAGTTCTGGGCCTCTCCCCTAAAAAAGGTTTTACTCACCATTACTCACCCTGCATGCCCTTCTTGCCCACAGGTGATCGGCCTAAGATAATCAATCCTGATGATCTCAGCTAATGCAATGCTTCCACATAGGGAAGCATTGAAAAGCTAGTACTCATGCGTGGTAAGTTGCTGCACTGAATCGATTTGCATTGAACCAACACCTCTATGCAAAGAATGAAGATGATGAAAGCTGGTCTTGTAATCTTTTAAGGACTGAACGCATGAAGCCCCTCTTGTGACTGACAAAAGTGGTGTTAGGCAGCAGTGCAGCTGAGGCTTCAGGCTTTCTATGGCCCAGGACCACTGCATTAAAGAGGCACTATAGTCACCAGAACCATTACAGCTTAATGTAATAGTTACATATAGTTACATAATTACATAGCTACATAGCTGAAAAGAGACTTGTGTCCATCAAGTTCAGCCTTCCTCACATATGTTGTTGCTGTTGATCCAAAAGAAGGCAAAAAACCTAGTCTGAAGCGCTTCCAATATTGCCACAAACTAGGAAAAAATTCCTTCTTGACCCCCAAATAGCAGTCAGATGTCTCCTTGGATCAAGCAGCTTTTACCCCACTAATTAGAAATTATATCCCTGTATTTTATGTTTTTGTAAGTATTTATCCAATTGCAGTTTAAACCTCTTTAGTGACTCTGACAAAACCACCTCTTCAGAGAATTCCATATCCTTATTGCTCTTACTGTAAAAAAAACTTTTCTTTGACTTAGATGAAATCTCCTTTCTTCCAGCCTAAATGTGTGACCTCGTGTCTTATGTATAGCCCTGTTTATGAATAGATTTCCAGATAAAGGTTTGTACTGCCCCGAATATATTTATATAAAGTTATCATATCCCCTCTCAGGTGCCGTTTTTCCAAACTAAATAGATTTAATTTTTTTTAAGCTTTCTTCATAACTAAAATGCTCCATTCCTTTTATCAATTTTGTAGCTCGTCTCTGGACTTTTTCTAGTGCCATGATATCTTTCTTTAGAACAGGCGCCCAAAATTGCACAGCATATTCAAGGTGTGGTCTTACCTGCGATTTATAAAGAGGCAAAATTATATTTTCATCCCGAGAATTTATGCCCCTATTTATACATGACAAAACCTTACTGGCCTTAACAACTGCAGATTGACATGGCATATTGCTGCCTAATTTGTTATCTATAACAATACCCAAATCCTTCTCGTGTGTGGTTATCCCTAATTCACTACCCCTTAGTGTGTAAGTTGCTTGTGCATTCTTAACCCCGAAGTGCATAACTTTGCATTTCTCTACGTTAAATTTAATCTACCATTTTAGTGCCCAGTCCCCCAATCTATCCAAATCCCTCTGCAGCAAAGCAATATCCTGCTCACAATTTATTACTTTACAAAGTTTTGTGTCATCTGCAAACACTGGTACATGGCTTTCAATGCCTATTTCAAGATCATTTATAAATATGTTAAATAGAAGTGGTCCCAAAACAGAACCCTGAGGGATACCAAATAACCACTTTTGTGCAGCCTGAAAATTTACCATTAATTACAACTCGTTGTACTCTATTCTTAAAGCCAATGTTCTACCCAAGAACAAAAATATTAATCTAGACCAATTTATTTTAGTTTGAAGACTAACCTATTGTGAGGAACCGTATCAAATGCCTTGGCAAAATCCAAGAAGATCACATCCACTGCAACACCCTGATCTATACTTCTACTTACTTCTTCGTAGAATGCAATTAGGTTAGTTTGACATGACCTATGTTTCATAAAACCATGCTGATTATTGCTAATAACAGGGTTCTTCCCAATGAATTCCTGAATATTATCCCTTAATAGCCATTCAAATATTTTCCCAGTTACAGATGTTAAGCTCACAGGTTTATAATTTCCAGGCAAGGATTTTGAACCCTTTTTAAATATAGGAACAACATCTGCCTTCCTCCTATCCTCCGGTACAACACCCAGTAATCTGGGTGTCTATAGTATGTCCCTGTAGTGCTAGCACTGTAAACACTGCCTTTTCTATTTGTTGGCACTTTATTAGTAATAATAATAATAATAAGAGGCAATGTTTACCTCTAAGTGCAGTTAACCCCTTAACGGAAATTTTACGTCAAGGCAGATCTACCCTTAAGGATGCTTGACGGAAAATTTCCGCCATTTACTAAAGTTAACGCCAGATCGCCGCGATTAAGGTTAACGCTGTTGCTGGGTGCCTCTGCGTTTAAGGAAGACCCCCAACAGCCAATAGCGATGTCCCAGCACATGTGATCGCTGTGACAGCCAGTCACAGCGATCACATTGCTGCTGGGACTTCTGATCCGCCTCCCTCCACCTCTGTGTGTGTGTTGGAAGTGGAGAGAGTCAGATCGTGCGAAACTATGTGTCCCTGACAGACACAAATTGTTTTAAAGTTTCAAAACCACCTTTACCCGTTCCTGATTGAAAATTTACCAGGGATTAACCCTTTGATCACTGACAGCAGTGATAATTCTGATCACAGTACTTGATTGTGATCAGTTTTTTTTAAATCCTCAAAGGTTAAATATATTTAATTTATTATTTTTTTAACTTTTATTTTCACTTAGCTGGGGTGGGTGGAAGCTAGTGGAAATTGGGGAATCTAGCATTAGGGTAGCTAGGAAGTTGAAAAGTTATATAAAGTTCATAAAAGTTTAGAAAAGTATTTAAAAAAAGTGAAAAAAGGAAAATGAGAAGAAAAAAAAGTTGTTAAGTCAAAGCATTTTTGCTTTGCTAGGTGTAAGCACTGTGTTTAGCTGCGATTTGATTTCTGTTTTTACCCACCGGCGTTAATTTTTAAAAAAGTTTTAGAAAAATTTTAAGAGTTTTAAAAAAGTGGAAAAAAGTATTAAAGTTCAGAAAACAAAAAAGTATAAAAAAAAAGTTAAAAAACTAAAAAGAAATACGTTATTTAGTTAAAGTTAATTTTAAAGGACCACTATAGGCACCCAGACCACTTCAGCTCAATGAAGTGGAGTGGGTGCCAGGTCCATCTAGGGTTAACCCTGCCTGCTGTAAACTTATCAGTTTCAGAGAAATTGCTATGTTTACATTAGGGTTAATCCAGCCTCTAGTGGCTGTTTTATTGAGGGAGGCTGGGTGGATTTCAATAAAAAATAATAATAATATGTGGGGGAAATGTGTGTGTGTCTGTCAGTGAGTGTGAGTAATAGTGTATGCCTGTCTATCAGTGTGTGTGTATGTTATTGTTTGTCAGTGTACATGAGAGTGTGTCTGTCAATGAGTGTATGCATCTATCAGTGAGTGTGTGCGTCTGTCAGTCAATGTGCGGCCTTGACAGGAAGGGGAGGAGAAAATTTAAATTATGGGGGTGCCCGAGCACCATCCTGTCTAGGGCAGCACAAATCCTGAATACACCACTGAGATGAGCGACATATGAAGCGTTATACTGCCATAGCACACCTGAGGATTGCAAACTATGCAGTAAAATCTTTACTACTACTAGACTTGGTAATAAGCAAAAAAGTGATCCCACACTAAGGTTCAAAATGGGCCTTTGGAAATACCCTGGGGTGTGATCTTTAAAAAAAATGGTAGGCCTTTGTGGGGGAAGTTTGTATAAGCAACCGATTAGTCCCCAAAATGAAACATACACCTATCAAATTCATCTCTCAAATTTCTACTGTAAAAAAATTATAGTCTGGTCTCCTATATGGCACTGTAGTTTCACGAAATACTGCCAAAGGTAAACATTGTGGATAGTGTTTTACTCAGATTAGTTAGCTGAGCATAATTTGGGGTGTTTGATCATGGTGGAACATATAAAATATACAATATGCCCAGCCCAAATGTAATGCTTAAGTAAAAAATGCAAAAAATATTTTTTTACCACAAAGTTTGACATATAACAGTAAAATAATGACGACATCTTAAGGCACAATATATGCCATATGAGACACCCTGGAGTGTCTACTTTCATGAATGGAAGGCCTCTGTGTGGTTATTTGAACAACCAAACTACTATAATGCCCCAAAATAAGACATAGGTCCATCAAATCCATCTGTAGAAACTGAAATAGTCTTGCCTCTTATATATCATTGTAGTTTCCCAAAATAGTGGAAAAGGAATACATTGGGGGTATTGTTATACTCAGCAGATGTAGCTGAACACAATATGGGATTTTGACCAGGAATAGCACACAGCAGCTTTACAAAATACACATTTAAAAAAAACCTTGTTATATGTGTGTATTTCAAATAACAGAAAGAAAAAACAAATTTTACTCCAATATTTAGCAGAGATTGGTGGGGAAATGGCTGAAAAAAGTGTCAAAACACCCTTAGATAAATAGCCTGTTATATCTACTTTATATAAATATATAATTTTGTGTAGCAATTTTGTTTTCTGTGACGGCTGTTAAACTTACAAGTCAAACATACCAACTTCTAAATTTGTTTCACATTGAAATTTTATATTACTCATTATATTTTGTGACCTGTAACTTTTAAAAATAAGTTGAAATCCTATACATATTATGCACGTTGAAAAACAAGACACATAAATGAATTTATTTTGAATTACTTTTCCTAAGCTGGACATATTATGGACACACTACTATTGCCAAAACTGAATTTTTTTCTCTTTTTAAATGTTTTTTTTCCATTTTTAAATTTTTTTTTAATAATAAATTAGATTTTATATATGTACATGTCACATCAAATTAAAGCCCATTTTTTCCTTAAAAAAAAACGATATATAATATGTGTTGATGCAATAAATGAGAGAAATGCAAATTGCAGTTGAACACAAACAGCAAAACATGCAAAAATAGCTTGTCTCCTTAAGGGGATGTCCAGCTCCTGAAGCTGTGTCCTTAAGGGGTTAATCAGACTAGCTGCCTAGTCCAGCCTGACATTCAGCGGTGCTCCCCATAGAGATGCATTGATTCAATGCATCGCTATTAAGAGATGCTGATTGGCACAGCGCAACGTTTTGCTGAACATGTGCAATAGCCTCCCAATGTTTTCAGGCAGGGTTATTTATTAAAGTAAGAATTAAAAGGAATTCAAAGTGAATTTTTAAATTAATTACAAAACAGCTGATCAAAATAATTCTCCAATTTAATTCTGTTTTTAGTTTAATTATTTTGTCCTTGAATTTCAGATTCACATTGACCTTCCGTCAATTATAACTTTTAGTAAATAATCCAATGGGGGTGTAAAATCTTAATAAATGTTTGTGGAGGAGTAATGATCCCATACATCTACATGAAACTTACCCAACAGGTTTTCAGTCTCTAATAGCCCTGTCAAGTACTTGTATTCTTGAAGGTCTTTTCACTCTTCTTCCTTCACGGGTGCCCTGGGGGAGTGGCGCAGACACCTGCCCCTCCTTTACCTTTTTTTCCCTCTCTTCCTTTTTCTCCCCTCTATGTTTCCCAATCTCCCCCCAATTCTCTTTCTCTATCCCTCTCATGTGTCTACTATACCTCAACAAACCTCTCACAGTAGTTCATGGTACTGATAAAGGGAGTACTGCGGCTGGACATACCCAAGACCTTCATACTCCTTTCCTACAGCCAGCTATGACTCGGAATTTCCACTAGCCAATCATAGAGCTTCAATGGCTCTCCTGATTTATGATACTGACACATATGCTCTAAATCCATAGCTCTTGCTTGTGTATCATTCGGTTACAGTTATTTTGTTGCACGTACAAACTATGTTCTATGTCTTCCCACAAACAGGCACATTCATGCCTAATACTGAGACTTATTTTCTTTATGGATATTAATGATTTTGTATCATCATCATTTGCAATACACGATGATGATGTACTTCCACTTGTAAGGACAGCAATAACAGTGACTTGAATTAAAAAAAGAAGACAATTCTAGAAGATAAATTGAATAAATAAATATTTAAGAGAAGAAATTGATTTTCTTCTTCTATCCTTTATTTACACGTGCCACATTATCTGTTCTTAATTCTTAGTTCGATTTGAATTCACATTGTTCTGTGCATGTTAGATCCTGACAATATTAATCCTTTGTGAGGCATGTACAGGTGAGACACTAAGCTTCGTCCAATACTATACAGTTAAGGGTAGGTGATCTTTACCACAGCACAAAATGAGTATTACTACTTTTCCTGTATCTTCACGATGATAAGAAGAAAAAAAACAAAAAAAAGAAGGCATGACCTCATGCAGTCTCATGGCTAATATGTGAAGTGGAACCATAAAACAAGGAAATTGTCCTGCTTCCCCGGTATCATAGGTTGGAAATTTCCAAAGATGTTGTGAATGAAAAGGGAGTCCATGTAGGAATAAAGTCTCATCGCAGATGTAAAGTAAGAATGATGGTTAGTATTGCCCCTACCATCAAAATGAAGGGGAGCCAGGTCTTCAGGAAGGCACCAACACTGTAAAGAGAAAAATGGTAAAAAGCACCTCTGCTTTAATATTTTGAAACCAGAATTATCAAATTGTTTAACAGCATATTGATAATGGACTAAATATTGATTTGGGTTTCCTGTCCCACTACCAACACTTTACATGAACACTCTCCCAGCATTATCTTACTGTTCTGTCATATGTATCAACACTTTAAAACACATTCCAATATGTTTATTCTATCAATATATAAAGTACTATGCATAGACCTATACTTCCCCATACTCTTATACATATATGCTTATATATGTGACTGTGCATATGAGTTCATGTATGTATATGTACATGTGTTCATGCGTTATGTGTGTGGATGTATAAAGCGTACAATCTTCTGCACTGTCTACGACTCTCTCTGCAAGAATGGTGTCTATTTTCTAACAAACCTGTGTCTTATCTGCGCTCATGTCGCTTTAACCCCTCTATAACAACTCAACTTTGAATTCTAGGTGTCGTCTTGCTCAGAAATGCTTCAGACTTTAGAAAGGGAGGTTCTCTCGAAAGCTTGTCATTAAAAGATTCTGTTAGTCCAATAAAAAAGGTATTACAAGATACAAATTTGTATCTGTTTTTTTACATCTACATCACTGGACTAATACGGCTACAATCTCTACTTGAACAATATGATTATATTATATTATATAAGCTTAAAACACACCCAGATGATGCAGATAGTATTTACAGACTGACACATCTACAACATCCCTACTCGGCTCCCTGAAGACAGTAGCAAGCAATTGTCTGGGCACACACCAAAAGTATTCAAAAAGGAGACTTTATTAGAACATAGAAGACGGTAACATTTTGGCTCTCAAAGAGCCTTGTTCAAGCTTTCTTAATACAGTCAAGCTTTTACATAGTTTAGACTTTTATATAACATTAAGTCTCGTGCAAAATTTACCTGACATATCGGCTGTGTACCAAGCACAGAAAACAGAGCTTCACCATATTCCATGAAGTGTTATTATACTTCATTAAGTTCAATGCCAGGGCAACGTGGGAGTGGCAGTTATCACAACACAAGTTGTGCTAAAATAAAAGATACATACATTTGGTAAGACATGATGTGTGGTAGAGACTGTGGCATGTACAGGGAGAGAGAAGAATGTTCATAAGAAACAGAAGGAGTTAAAAAAGGGAAACAGTGGAGCTTTTCCCAGCATCACTTACCATGCGATGCTTATATTCCTCAGATGCTTCATGAACAGCAGTATCCCATGGATTGGACCCACTGGCATGAACAAGATTTGGATCTAACTGCCAGAATCTAAATAAAGAGGTGAACAGTTAGTAGAGAGATCTTAGGAAACTGAAAGATGTGTATTGGAATGAAGGGTAACTCACTTTACTGGCTTTCCAAATGCCATTGAGTCCTCCTACATAAAAACAAAGATATAAAAAGATAAGATATATTTTGCTAAAATGTTAGCCAAATGAGAAATAGTACCTTCTGAGGATAACAGACATATAATATCAATGCCAGGATGCAAAAAGGAGCACAAACAGGAGCATGTATTTATTAAAGAGAATTCAAATTAAATTTCAAGTTTAGAGGACAACTGTCACCTCAAAACTATTTTTAATATAATAATTTCATCGTGTTCTGAAAGGAAATAGATTTGTTTTTAAATAATGTACAGTTTATATGGAAACAGACAGAATTTTCAAAAATTTTGCTCTGTACGCCAGCACAACGGATTTAAAAATGAACAACTGAGATGCAATTGAAGTGCAGCCTTTCAGCTTTAATTCAAGGAGTTAAATACAAATATTGAATAAATCATTAAGGAATTGCAACCATTTTGTTTCACAGACTCCCATTTTGATGGGTCTCACAAATTAATGCAATCATAAATAAAATGTTAAATTTTAATACTTTGTTGAGAATCCTTTGCAGCTTGTGGCAAAATAAATCAATAAAATATAGCAAAATGCTATACAAATAGTCAAGACGCTCAATGTATTGTAGATAACAGGGACATGTGAACACTAGGTCAGTCTTTAACTCTACAAAACTCACAGACACATAGTAAGGTCCAGCAAAGTCCCGGATCACTCCAGATGACGTACAAATCCCCATGTGGCCAATAAATGGGAACAGCCATCTGAGGAAGAAAGAGACACACAAATACATTAAGGAATTCCTAGAAGAACAGTAATGAGTTTTTAAGAATGGCTGTTACCAGTCTATTTGTTTCCAATCTGCTGGCTCATTTGTTCATGTTTTGTAGCATTCTACAACATGTCCCAAATAATGATGCCATGACTGTAATGAGAAATATAGGGGATCCTGAAGACTACATAAAGTCTCCTATAAATTATTTTACATGTTAAAAAGTTTGTGATGAGGCCAAACACAATAAACCTCCCAACAGTGCAAAAAGAAAAATTACAGTTGTGACTTGCATATCTCAAGTTGGACTTTGGAAATTCCTTACTGGGCACAGAAACTCGAGAAATCATGTTTCGTACAACCACTCCAGAGTTCCCAGCTTGACATGCATATGAGTACAGACATGCACTGTGCTTCAGAATTCACCCAGCATTTCTGCTGGTACCCTTAGCAATGGACGCTGCTTTAACCCCTTAAGGACGGCGGCATTCTATGTCGCCCTTAAGGGGCTGAGCCTAAACGATTAGTGTTTCTCCTGGTCTGAGGGGACTGTCTGACAGCCCAGATAGTCCCCCCTTTTGCAAATCAGGCCCGTGCGGGCCATGTGATTGCTACTGTCATCTGAAGGGGGGCAACTTTGGAGTTAACCTTTTGAGATAAGAATAGAATGCCTCCAAGCACCATAACAACTTCATTTAGATTAAGTTGTTTTGGTGTTTGGAGTGTCCCTTTAATTCCAAATGTCAGGAATTCAAATGTTTGGCCACAACAGTGATAAAACTGGAAAAAAAAATACTTTCAGTTTGGTTATTTTTTACGTAAAATCTGAAATTCACCTTGCATTTGCAACAATCCATACTTTAGTAAACAAACCCTGTGCACAAATACGTCTGTCATTATATTGCACAGCAACTACCATCATTATTATTGCCATTTATATAGCGCCAACAGATTCCGTAGCGCTTTACAATATTATGAGAGGGGGGGGGATTTAGCTATAACCAGGACAATTACAAGAAAACTTACAGGAACGATAGGTTGGAGAGGACCCTGCTCAAAGGAGCTTACAGTTTATACATATCAATAACCTGCCTACATGTCTTCTCCTATAGCTGTCTTCTACGGTTAAATGCCCTAAAGGGAATACAGCATACGTCCTACTAACATAGCATAATATGCATGCCATAAAATAACACTTCGATTTGCAATATCAAATTACATATAATATATATATATAACAATTTCTGGGTGTGGACACGGCAGGACCTCGCCTATCTCTTACGTCAGGACAGGGATTGGGGTCCACACGATACAGTGCGGAAAACGACTTCGTTCAGGGTCCGGCTTCATCTTTTCTTCCACTACTTCCGCCATCACGGGCAGCAGCAGGGCCACTTCCGCCATCACCTCCCAGTGCTTCACGGCTCGGCTTGACTGGCAGATGCACGTCACTTCCGTCACTACGTTCCTGGCTCACAAATTATCAGGCGTTTCCTGCTGTCGGCGTTGTCTCTTCTTTTCTCCAGTATTGCACTATTCTCAGCCGCCCTCTGCTGGTGACATGTGGGAATTACCGAGTATGGATAAATTATTTATGACTGCCATATTTTGTAATTGTACCATCGCTCCTCTTTATTTCTCTAGTAATAACGCATGTTTACTGATTTGTAGGTTTCCATTTTCTTCACAAAGCACTGAATAATGTATGAAAACGGGGTGTTTTATATGGAATGTCTGGAAAATTGCTCTGAGTGATAGACAGTACTGCTGGTTGTTTCTAGGCTAATCTAGAGCAGTGGTTCCCTGTCTATTACAGCTCTAAAGTCATTATTCCTGGCACGCTTTGAAGTGGCTTGTGGCACAAAAGTAAGGAACCACTGACTGACAGCATATGTTTACTTACTTGTCCAGGTTCGTAAAGGGTTGAAAATCCCTTTACTCAATTACCCAATTCCAGCAATGATGTCCCTCAGCCCTCCGCCTTCTCTGACATCATCTTTTAAGGGCAGGCTAATGCGCATGTGCTGTGAGTGCATTGGGCTCCGCATAGAAAAGCATTGCTTCATGGAGATTTTACCGACACTGGATGTCCTCATGCAGAGCATGAGGACGTCCAGTGAAAACCGCCTAGTAAGCAGGAAGTAAAAAGGCATTTAGTCCGTCAATGTAATTATTGCAGTTTCCAAAAAACTGCAATGATTTACATTGCAAGACTAAGTGGGACTGGGACAATGCACCCTTCAATGAGAGGAAATGGTCTGATTGACTATAGTGTTCCTTAACAAAGGAAGTAAAGCTTGCCTGAAATACACTATAGGTATAAAAACAACTTTAGCTTAAAGGGACACTTCTGCCCATTGGAGTGGTCTGAGTGCCAACTCCCACTACCCATAACCCTGCAAGTGTAATTATTGCAGTTTTTTTTTTTTTTTAAATAAATAAACTGCAATAATTACCTTGCAGGGTTTACTCCACCTCTAGTGGCTGTCTATTAGACAGCCACTAGAGGGCACTTCCTGGTCCATAGCACAGAGAACCTGTGCTAGAACATCGCTGGACGTGCTGTGTGAGGACCTCCAGCGTCGCTCAATTCCCCATAGGAAAGCATTTTTGAAGCATTTTCAATGCTTTCCTATGGAGAGCTCTAATGTGCATTCGCGGCATTGCCGCGCATGCGCATTAGGTCTCCAAGGCTCAGTCTCACCCACCGGCCGACGTAATGAAGAGGAGGAGCGGCGGCAACCCAAAAACACAGCCGAGGGACATCTGCGGGGGTGTCAGGTAAGTGACTGAAGGGGTTTTCACCCCTTCAGCAACCGGGGATTGGGAGGTGGGAGGAAGAGGGGACCTGCAGTGCCAGGAAAACAGATTGTTTTCCTGGCACTGGAGAGTCCCTTTAAAGGGACACTATAGTTGCCAACACAACTGTAGCTGAACAAAGCTATTTTGGTGTATACGAAAATAGAGAATAGATGAAGGTGTGACCCCAACCAGAAAATGGGAGGGGAACCCAGCTCCACAAAATTTACCACCACTTAAAAGATCATCCTTAGATAAAAGTTGATGCGATACAATTTTATTAAATGACAAAATAAAACATCAAAAGTAAAAAAGTACCAAAAGAAAAAGGTGAAAAATTAATAATAATAATAATAAAACAAATAAAGAAAATAATCATAAAAAGGAGGAGGAGCCCTTTGTATTCAGTTCCTAATATGCGTATTAACCAGAGATTATGTTATATCATTCATCCAAAGGAGCATATATTACTGTCCTGTATCGAAGTAATATAACAATATAACAGAATACTTATTGTATCTATTTTGAAAGTGGATACATGTAACAAATGAGATAGGGAGCTTAGAAGGATAGAAGCAGCAGAACAGAGCCATTTGGGCACAATAATAGAACACTAGATTCTAGTACACATAGGTAACCCAAAATCAAATCCTAGTAGAGTGTGGAAGTACCAACCAGATCCCTAGTATTTATGGGCACAGGTTTTAACAAACACACACCCTACAGCATTGGAATCGATTATCCTTAGAACCACTTCAAGCGTTACTAACATAATAGACTGGAGAAAATTCCTTGTGTGTAGTTACCATGTAGCAATAGCAGGGCTAGTGTGACGGCGCTCCAGTACTCCGACTGAGTACCTCCACCAAATCTGCTTTCTCGTAGCTATCAGGGACCCGGGAGCACTTCAGACCCAGTCGCGAGGTTTGACAGAGATCACTGAGGGCCTTTTCCACCCTAGACCAGGCTACTGTGTATATAGCCCTGGACTCACTTTCCATCAGCAGATTTCCCCAAACACCAGAGGACACAAGATGAAGGTTAAAACAGCAACTAACTTTAATAGACATAGCACACATATTTTAAGCCCCCAACAGCCTCATTTACATACAATGGGGTGGATAGAGCACTATGTCTGCTGCTCGCACCCGTATTGCGAACTCAAGCTTACAGAACTTCTCAAGGGTGGCTCCCTTCCTATAGAATAGCCTGCCTACCCCAATCAGACTTGCCCCTAGTCTTCAATCGTTTAAAATGTGCTTTAAAACCCATCTCTTAAGGAAAGCTTATGGCCTCCCAGAGTAACCTCTACCTTACATACCTGTTTCTTGCTCTCTCCTAATGGGCAGCACTCTACGCTCTCCTCTGCACTCCCACCTTATTTGATTGCTATTTCCTGTCCTAATGTGTTTTAAACCCCACCTCCTATAGACTGCAAGCTCGTTTGAGCAGGATCCTCTTCAACCTATTGTTCCTGTAAGTTTTCTTGTAATTGTCCTGTAGCGGATGGCATTGGGCTGTCCTAAAAGACTGTGTTAAAAAATGCAATTTGTGTGGTTATTTTCCTGTATAGATAAAAGTGTATGTAGTATTCGTGTGATTGTTCGGTAGTTTTCATCCATATCTCATACGAATGAAACTACCGAACCAGTAGACCACCCCAGAGAGAAGTGTGCACCTTATTAGGCTTTCACACTTCTTTAACCGCAGGTTAATTGGTACTTTGTGCCTCACTCTGCGGCGCGCAAGGGAGCTGAGCAGACCGCTCAGAGGAAGTGCTCCCTCGCCAGCCGCCCGCCCATCAGCCCGCCCGGCAGCCACTGGACCACCAGGGAGAAAGAGGAACCCCCCCCAGCACTCCGAAAGGTAAGGAGGCTGGGGGGTTAAATAAAACGAAAAAAAAAATTGATGTGAGTGATTGTGTGTGTCTGACTGTGTGTGTGTGTGTCTGACTCTGTGTGTTTGTGTCTGACTGTGTGTCGGCCTGACTGTGTGTGTGTCTGACTGTGTGTGTGTGTGTGTTTGTGTCTGACTGTGTGTGTGTCTGACTGTGTGTGTGTGTTTGTGTCTGACTCTGTGTGTGTGTGACTGTGTGTGTGTGTGTATTTAAGAGGTGGGGCGGGGGGGAAGGGTTGGGTGGGGGTGGCGCAGGGGGAGGGGGGAAGGGGGTGCCTGAGTTTTGTCCTGCCTAGGGCAGCACAAAACCAGGATACACCACTGCAAAACACAAGAGGAATTTGGGGAACTACATATAGTGTCTGTCTTCCATACACAGTGATGGTGACTACCGTCACAGATAGGAATAGGGGGAGCCTGTGTCTGAAAAAAAAAAAAAAAGTAGCTTGATCACTATTGAGGCTTTTCCCACATTATTCCCCAGAGTAGCCAGAGGTATTAGCACATAGTGGCCAGATTAAAACTAGATTTTAAATTAGAAGTAGATAAATTAGTGTCCTTAGCTGAGAAAGATAAGAATAGTTATATCGCACTGTCTCACATCAAATTTGAGGGTAGGTTAGAGGGAGTAAACAGTTTCCATATATACAGACGTAGAGAGATTCCCCATACACTGCACATGCTGCCCCTTGTAAAACACAAACTGCTTTGAGGCAGTCCCCTTATATGAAATGCTTAAGTAAACTCCATACTGCTCACAAGATAGAATGCAAAATCTAATCAATCCTCCATTAATAAGAGTACAAATTCCCCATCCAAAAAAATTAAATTCAAATTAAGCACATTGGTACTATAGCTTGATGCGTGTTTCGGTGTTTAATAACTTTTATTTATTTTTATGTAACCCTAGCCACACATCCCTTTGCTGTAACTCACACAGCCTGCAGATGTTAACTTGCTTTTGAAGTTTTTATCTCCTACATCACATATCTCCCCTCCAAAGGTAGACTAACCAGGTACCAGACCTCCAATCAGTCTGTGCCTGAGTTAATCAGGTAACCAGTCCCAAAGAGTCAATCCATCCTGGCAGCCTTCTCAACAAAGTTCCACATAGTTTGTAAGTTTGTCCCGGTCGGGCGCATGGAGCTTTCATAGCCGATCAGTCTGTGGAAGTCTGATTTGGGCAGGTGTAACTGGGCTTCTCTGTCACCCTGTGCCCCTAATAAGCACAGGGTAACAGACATAAGAGGGGACTTGGAAGTGGAGAAAGGGAGCTCCCACTAAATCTGCCGTGGCCCCCTTCCTAAACTCAAACCTATCCCCACATGACCGCACTCTCAGGGGCCCACCTTGACACCCACACATCCCAACAGCAAATCTGGAATCCTGTGTCTCCAGCCCAGGATAGTTCCCACCACATTTCTCTCCCTTTGGAAGGAGACAAATACAGGAGGAGACCTGAGACAGGTTGACTTGCAGGTTAGTCAGTACATCCAGCCCACCAACGCCATCATTAAATCTGTATCCCAAACTGCCCATGCAAGAGCAGCACCCAGCCGATGTCTGCCTCTTCTCCCTGGAGTCCACTGGGAAAGAAGACAGACTGTCTTCTCTACCTGTAATGCACACTTCCACTGGGGAGTGAGACTGGCTGTCTCCACTCCCAAAACTCTGGCTGCTGTTGAGTACGGGGACCAGCTGTTTCCAATCCGCAAAACTCCAGCTTCCACTGGGGATGTAGCTGGGTTGACAGTGTCCCCATGCCCCAAGGGTGAGGATCTGAGCCGGCTGCCCAGCATCCCTGTGAATCAGGTGTGGAGAACACGGTTCTCTCCACATCTACCTGGCCAATATCTTCAGATGTAAAGTCCTCCAGTCCAGTCCTGTACTCCAGTCCAAGCTCGCACTCCATGGTGGCCAGGAGGGTCAAATCTTGTTCCAGGTCACTTGCTTCTGAGAGATCCAGTTGGTGTTCCCTATTTTCCCAAATGTCATTGAGACTGAACTTTTCAGGACTTCCAAATTCATCTTTATCCTCAAAGAGCTCCCGCAATAGGCCAGGGCCATCACAGCCCACCATCTGCTAGAAATGGGTACAGCAGGACTGCATACTACCTTAAAGCCAGATACGAATCATCCAGCTACAATTTTTTCTGGACCAGCTCCTCTAATTTGAACACACATTCTGCCAGGGGCTGCTCTACCAAGAAGTGCATGTGCAAATCAACTTGTTTCCAAAATCGTTGCATAATGGTTGGAAGGGGTTCTCTCCAGTGACAACAAACCACCTCAAGGACGTTGTTCCAGCGTTCCCATCTGATTGTGTCCGGCTGGTACCTCTGCCAAGTCTGCCAACTCTGTCAAGAAAAAGCCACCATACTGGCACAAAGCTGCTTGTAACCTCTGCTGGAACTCCTCCTCAGATGGGGGCACTGCACAGGTGCTAGGTCTATCTTGGCAAATTCCAGAAGGCATGCAAAGTCGTAGATTGGAGGTCCCCCAATCGCTAGGAAGCGCTGCCAACCAAATGTGACGGAGCTCCAGTACTTTGCCTGAGTACCTCTGCCAAGTCTGGTTCCTCGTAGCTATCAGGGACCCTGGAGCACTTTAGACCCAGTTGCCAAGGCTTGACTGGGATCACTGAGGGCTTTTTCTACTCTAGACCAGGCTACTGTGTATATAGCCCTGGGCACACTTTCCATCAGCAGATTATATTTGCAATTCAATAACTTATTTATTTTTATGTTACCCTAGCCACACAGCTCCTTGCTGTAACTCACACTGCCTGCAGATGTTTACTTGCGTTAGAAGTTATCTCCTCCTCTGCATATTTGAACTTTTATTAAACACAGGAGGCTCATCCAGATTTTAAAAGACTATTAAGAGAGCAGGAGATAAAAACATGTAAATTAGACAGACTGTGCAATAAAGAAAGTTTAAACATTAGCCGTCTCTCTACCGGAAGTGTTTAGGAAGGCTATGCAAGTCACATGCAGGGAGTCGAAAAACTAAGTGATAAACAAAGTGATTTAACTCCTTAATGTCAGAGAAGTGCACTGTGACACTGCAGGGACATGATCTATACGTTAAAACTCCTTCATTGAACTGTGACACTGCAGGAATATGATGTATATGTTAAAACTCCTTAATTGAACTGGGACACTGCAGGGATATGATCTATACGTTAAAACTCCTTCATTGAACTGTGACACTGCAGGGACATGATCTATACGTTAAAACTCCTTCATTGAACTGTGACACTGCAGGGACATGATGTATACGTTAAAACTCCTTCATTAAGATAAAAGATGTTTTGGTGCCTATAGTGTCCCTTTAAGCTCCACCCTTTGTCAAGATTTGTCAGGCATCAAAAAAAGTATATAAAGAAAGTGGTCCCAACTTTGCCTTATGTTTTAAAGAGAAATAGATCAGAAAAGAGCAGACAGAGGTAGCAATAGGAGCAACGTAAGCTTGAGGGGTCAAAGCTTCTTTAAAGGGACACTATAGTCACCAGAACAACTACAGATTAATGTAGTTTTTTTAGTATGTATAGTATGTGCCTGCAGGCCTTTTAATGTCAGCACTGTCTTTTCAGAGAAAAGGCAGTGTTTACATTACTACCGAGGAACACCTCTAGTGGCAGTCACTCAAAGAGCCACTAGAGGTGCTTCAGACACTGAACACTCCCATAGCAATGCATTGATTCAATGCATCTCTATGAGGAGATGCGGATTGGTGCAGCACTATGTTTTTCTGCGCATGTGCAATAGACTCCCAATATTTTCCTTTATAGGAACCCAAACCTGTATTCCTAACACTATAGAGCTAGAGTACCTGTTTAGATCTCTGGCCCACCTCTGATTGGACATAAAAGATATTTTACTTACCTTTCCTCCATTGCTGTACTGGTCTTGCTGCACCTGGCACCTCCTCCATGGCGTAGATATCAATCATGACGACAGCCAATCCATTGATCTCCCATACACATGCTGCGCTGCACTCATCAGCATCACCTCATAGAGATGCATTAAATAAATGCATCTCTATGGAGAGCGTGGGGAAAGTGAACTTACCACCACTGAAATAGGAAGCACCTCTAGTGACAGTTTGAGTGACTGCACCTAGAGGTGTTACTAGGCAACAATACAAAAACTTCCTTTTCTGTGCAACAGCAGTATTTACATTGCAAAGCCAGCAGGAACATGCTATAGACATGTGAAACACTACAATGTGTAATGTTTCTCTTGACAATAATTTTTCTTTAAAATCAGCGAGTTGCATGTATCAAGTGTAAGTGTTGGTATAAAGCAGAGAAACTGTCTAAACAGAAGTCAAATCAAATGCCATTAATAAATAGGTATAATCTATGTCTCCAGCGTGTTGCCCTCAGCAGTTGACTAACAGTAATTAGTAATGTAAAACTATAGGCTTGCATATGAGTTGAACATGTTTCTGCATTAAAAACAAGGGGCTGAAAAAGAGAGATTAAAGGGACATGCATGACTTGACAATTATTTTTTTCTTAAACAGCAAAAACTTTTAAACAATTATACAAATCAAAATAAGGCAAAAAAACCCTTTGAAAAATATGTAATAAATGCTTCTAAACTTGGTCAGATTGCATTATTCCTCTCATTTAGGGGGCTTTCGCCAGCTCCCCTTCTTTTTTACCCACCCATGTCAGTTTTGGACCAGTCCACTAATGACAAAAAAAACAGTCTGCATTATCACACTGATTACACTCCTCCTATCAAGATGGTGCAAGCGAAAAAATCTTCCAACTCTGTAAAAGGTCAGGCATTCCAAATGCACTTTTCCAACATTCCAAGGGGTAGTTAACTTATTGACCAGATTAGTGTCTCCCCTGGAGTGGATGTTGAAAGCATAAGAAAGAAGAAGCAGGTAAATATAAAATATTTTTTTAGCTGCTTTTTTTTTTTGCATGTAGGGTGAGGCAATTGTCCATTTCAAAGTTAAAGAATTGAATGAGACAGTTATCTCAAAGTGATGTGTGCCCCTTTAAAAGCAGAGGTATCACTTTGAGATAACTGTATTCTTAAATGCTTTAGTTGTAGTCGGGGCAATTTAGCCGAACAGAGAAATCTTAGCACAATACAATCATAACATCTATGAGTAGGCACCAGTCGGTTGTGGTGTGCCGGAACCGACAGAGCAGTAGGCCTGTAATAAAAGTGGGCAAAAAGAAAATAACCAGAAAACATAATTCGTGAATCAACTTCGTTTATTGAGATAAGTCACAAAAAGCTTGTCTTAATTCTTTAACAGGATTGGGTATGTAGAGTGTGTAAGCGGAGGATTTCCATCGCCCCATGGCTTTAATAATATGAGCGGGGAAGTGGTTAGCGGATGCGGAAGATGCTGCTCCTATACGGAAAGAGTGGCCTGAAAATTGATTGGGGTTTAGGCCGAGCCTGGTTAACAGAAGTCTTATGTATAGCATGAATTTATATGTGGTCATAGTGTGTCCATGCAGTTCAAACAAAGGCTGTTGAGGTTGTTTGTGGACTGAAAGTGAATAAGTGTCTAACACTTTAACAGGGCACCATATATTGTGAGTAGGATACAGGGGTATCTGAATACTGTGTCCGTCGGTGCTGGTTTTGGATTGTCTTAGAGAGAGAATATAATGGTCGGTATGTTTCTGTAGATCAATGGTTCTGAGGTAGTTAGGTGCGGTTATGGTTGTGGTTGTGAATTCGCTAGGCTGTAGGAACCCGTAGAAAGCAAGATATAGTGCTGTTTTGATAGTGCTATTTGTCAAGGGTTCGAAAGGAGATGAATCTAATAGGTTGGATAGAGAGTGGAAGATGTTGTTGTCTTTGTGAGGGAACATGTGTGTCTAGTTTTTTAATGCCTTTAAGTAATGTTTTAATTTGGTATGAGGTTAGAAAAGCAGTACTGTTAGGTTGTTGGATGAGCATATGGTGTTGGATGCCAGTAAGGTACAGTTTAATAGTATTGAAGGATAGTTTAAGGTTAATGTGGCAAAAAGAGGTAGACCCCAAAATCGTCTCTAATGCAAACATGTCGTGAATGTGAAACTCGGTGATAAATTTTTTGAATATGTGAAATGCCCTATCATAAGTGTCCCTAGTGTTTACTGAGAGTGCCATGTGAGAAATGTGGCGTGCGTGATCATGTCTTGGAAAAGAGGTGCGGATGTCGCTCGTCTGGAAGCGTTGGGTAGTGACGAGAGGAAAGCCTGGAAACAAAACCGAGACAAGTGATCAGCAGCGGTGTTTGTGTAACTCGGGATGTGTATGCATGTTATGTAGAATTGGCAAGTGGCTGCTACCCATGTGAGACGTCTTAGCAGTCTCATAATGACCAGTGATGCCGAACGGCCTTTGTTCACAATGTGGCATGTAGCCAGGTTATCCGAGTAGCACCTGACCGTGTGGCCAGACCAATATGGTCCCCAAGCAATGGCTGCCGCCACGATTGGGTACAACTCAGATAAAGCCGAGGTGTCAGAAAATTTGGGTAGTGATTCGACTTCAGTCGGCCAAGGGCCCCCAAAGCCATTTGTCACCCCAGATGGCGGCAAAGCCTGTGTTAGCTGCAGCATCTGTCCATAGTGACGGTGATGTGTCGGAGGGGGGTGGTATAAACATGGTTCGCCCGTTCCAAGAAGTGAGAAAGACCCGCCACATGCGTAAATCAGAAGTTGCGTGTACATGTAATGTGATATGTGAAGTGTCCGAAGTAAATAGTGGAAACAGGGATAACAGGTGGGATATAAAAGATCTACCTTGGGGTATGATCCTCATGGCAAAATTGAGCGATCCAAGTAGTGATTGTAGTTCTTTCCGATTGCAATGACCTTGTAGCAGGTAATGTTCAATACTTGCCAGGGTACACTCAATCTTGTCCTGAGGTAGACTGGCCTGCATGTTTATCGTGTCTAGTTGTATGCCCAAAAATTGCATGTAGGTATCTGGACCCAAAGTTTTGTGAGGAGAGACAGGAATGTTAAGAGATTCAAACAGTGCCAATAAGTGATGCAAACTACTAGGTGGAAGAGTGTTATTCTCAATCAGGAGGAAGTCATCCAGATAATGGATAACCGAAGGGCACTTGCACACATTTAGTAATAGCCAACATAGAGCCTCTGCAAATGTGTCAAAAATACGTGGACTACTTTTAGAGCCGAAAGAAAGTCTGGTGAAAAAATAATACCTCCCTTGCCATTTAATACTGTGTAGATGCCACAGGGAAGGGTGTATGGGTAGTAGCTTGAAGGCGTTTACCACGTCTGTTTTACTCAGCCATGCTCCCATACCTGCTTGTATGATGGCCCCTATGGCATGGTCGATAGTGGTGTAGTGCAGTGAAAATTCTTCAGAAGGTATTAGGGAGTTTAGGCTGGGGATAGTGGAGGAGTGTGGTTCTGATAGATCAATTATCAGTCTGGGTTTAAGTGAGGTGTTCCCTGTGACCACCCCTATAGGATTGGTTCTCCAGGACGTGAAGGGTGGGGAAAAGAATGGTCCCAACAGAAACCCTTGCTCAAGTTCAGTTGAGATAAGTGTATTTACCAACTGTGGATCGTCTAATGTGGACTGTAGGTTGTCGCATTCTAGTGTACCGGAGGGTAAATGGACCAACCCGGTGTGAAAACCCTCGGTCATGCCCCCAAAAATATATTCCGTGAAATGACGTGAAGGATGTGGCTGTAAAAGTGCTGTTAATAAAGTGACGTTCACACACGTGTGATACGGTTTTGGGAATGCTTTATTTGGGCACATTGTTTTGGCAAGGGCTCTAAAACAGTGTGAACACACATGCATCAGTCTACATGAACTAAATCCACAATTGCCCGCATTGAAATTGTTGCATATCTGAGATTTACCCAGGAATACAATGTCTCTGCCCAGCTTGTCTTTTAATCCCTTGTTAGCTTTAGGAAAGTTAGGGGAAGATTGATTTTGTTCTAACTCGGCTGTGTTAGGGCAGAGATTAGTGTGATTTGCTGTAGATGCGCATACTGCACATGCTGGAGGCCTGAGGCCTGCAAAATGCCTGCAGAATAGCTCTGTATCCAATTTGCTCCAATTAAATTGAACTGAGCCAGAGCTGCAGCCACCTTTGCGGAAAAGGAACGGGGTGGTAATCGTAAAAAGCAGTACCACCGTATTTGTGCCCCAGGTCCACCATCTTGTGCATGTATGTATCCAGCTCTGCTCTTTTACCTGGGTATACTGAGCAGTACACATCTCTATAAATCCCAGTACAAATTCAGGTATTGACAGTTTTTTATTTAGTCTAGGGTCTCTAGCCCTTAGTACGACAGATATATCCCCGTATGCAAAAGTACTATTCTCTAGGACATCCTGGGAGGCTATAAGCAATGACACCAGGTTGATGTCCTTGCCTTCCAGAATGTCCTTTTTAAGGTGAGATGGGACCATGTGTGAGGGGTTAATATCTCCGCTAAGAGACCCTGATTCCAAAGTATTACCAGTCATGTCAGCCAGAGGGTGACTGGCCTCAATTGGGTTCGTAGCGGTCTGTTTAGTACCACTTGTTTCCAATTTATCCAGTCTGTCATTAATTGTGCTGATGGATGACATGAGCGAGGTCATCATGGCATGAAATGTTGGCAATTGTGTGCCACTAGGGCCTTCCCCTGCATCAGAGTTGTCAGTGCCCGTATTCAAAAGTCTGAACAACTCAGCTTTCCTAGCAGTAGCTGGGAAAGGGATGCTGCGTCTTCTCAGTTCTGCCGTGAGACATGGGACGGTCCATGATCTGAGAGAAGCAGGACTAGCAATGTCTGTTGCAGGAACAGGGGTACCAGGCCTAGCGGGAGTGCAGGGTAGCGAGAGTTCCTCGGGGATATCAGGATTAATAGACATAACTGAAAAATATAAGTAAGCTTAATCAATCATTCTGTAATGTTTATTTTGGTGGGTACTGCTAGCTAAATGCCAAGCGGCGAAACAATTATACTTATGGATGGTGACAGATGAGTCCCTACTAATTGCCAAGTGGCCTGAGAGGCGCTACCTATGCGTGGGCCCGAGGGGAACGTATGAGGCCACCGAACGTTGTGGCGGGGTGTTGGCCTCTCGGTGGTATTTAAAGCATAAGATAGATTGGGAGTGACAGGTGAGGCCCTCTCTATGCGACAATGCGAGACGGCTAGCTATGATTCGGCCCGAGGGGCGTATTCCTCCGAGAGGGGTGTTTGTCTCGCGGGACCACTAGCCTATGGATTAAGACCAGAAACTTTTACCTAGTTGGGTGATATAACATAGGACCAGTACCCCTCAGAACATGGTAGAGGGAAAAATTATTTGGTTCTGGCATAGTACCTGATATGTAAGTCAGGTTGCGCTGTCGAGGTAGAAGTAACCCAGTACTGTAAGAGTCTCAAGATGATAACCTGTTGGATATGAGTTTCAATATATGAAAGTGTGAATAAACATAGTGTTATGGCCAGATCGTGGGCCCTAAGAAGAAAAAAAAAAAACCAAGGAACCTACCCGACACTGCAGAGGGTAGATATAATGAAATTGACGACGGTTTTCCGTGCTTGTAAAAAGCTACCGTATTGAAGGTAAACAACCTAAAAGTAAAAATACATACTTAACTACTGTAATGTGTATCATTAGCCTTCATAACCCAAATTAAACAATAACCAACCTATAAGAATATGGATACCACTGACAGATTTCACAATTCCCAGTATGAACCACTGGGATGACTCTGTGGGGAAAAACAGATTCAGAAAATCAGGACCCATCAACTTATTTTACAATATTCTTATTAAGCATATATTTACTGCAGAAACATTTGTAACGAGTAGGGGCGAAATTCCCTTGTAGTACTGGCTGAATTCGAGTTTAATACGTAAATTAGTGTAGCTGCCGAAAGAGCTATGTAGAGTATAGTAACAACCGAATACATACACCATAATTAACTTGAGAAACCAACCGAATGATGTTCAAGTATAATTTAACCGAATGTTATCGTTCGCTTGTTTGAACTTGTGAAACACACGAATAGCAGAGTGAAAGCATTTAGATGAATGTAATGGTGATATGATAGAACGAACCGAACGGGGCGCCACCGTGCAAAGCAGGGGGATTGCAGCAGTTGCTTTACAGCGGGCCTGACTTACTTTTTTTTTTCTGAAGAGGACGCACCGAGCGAGCTGTGTGGACGCCGGCGGCGGTGAGGAGAGCCAGGGGAGCCCGGACCAGGAGACCACGAGGGAACAGGTAAGGAAAAATCCAAGATGGCGGTCTGAACCAGAAGTAACGTTTCAGACTCGCCAGACCAGCAACGGTAAGGTGGGAGTGGATTGGCAGCCCTTTTAAAGGTGAACCAAGCCCCTCCCACAACTCCAGGCCAAGCCTTCAAATTTGTGAATGAGACAGTTATCTCATTCGGTAACCTGAAAAATCAGGGAAATATGTTTAAAAAATATATATATTTAACTGCAGCCTCTTCTTCCTTGCGCTTTCCACACCCCCTCTGGGGGTGCCCTGATCTAACCATGATGGAGTTGCACATGATGACATTGTGAGTTCCTGAATGCGCATAACTGTTTGTGTACAGACGGCAGTCCCCTTGGAGAATCCATAGCTTTATTAAAGCCTCAGCTAGCTGTTCTTACTTTTCTTACTCTTCCCTGTTGACACAACACTAAGCTTCTATCTGAACCACACTAATGTTAGACGCTTGAGACTTCATACTCCTAGCAACCCTCACTGGCATGGATTCAAAACATTTAAGCTATTCTGTCTGTGTGAATGTCATCAGAACATTGGTTTCAGTGGCTGTTAAGGAAAGTTTGTCCTAAGTCCTGACGGAGTAGCTACTCTTCCGATCACCATAGCTGCTCTCCCATTGCTCTTCTTAGTAGACGGTTGCGTATGGAAAGAGCTACTTTTCATCCTGTATCAAAGCTGCAAGCAAATCTTGTAACCTTGAATTAAGACTAAAAGAAAGATTAATGCAAAATTAGTGAAATGTTCATCTGCACCAGAAGCCATACATCTTCACTACAAGCTCTGCTACAACAAACTAAATTTCTCTTGGTGAATCATGATTACAGAAAGCCGATACAAAGACACCTTTTGCACACTCATAAATAATGAGCAGCCAAAGGGAGATTTATTAGGAATTTTGAAAAAGAAAAAAAAAGTGAAAGTTTAAAAAACACAAAAAACAAATTTTAAAACGTTCTTGTATGTATCCTGATTTTTGATCAATATATATATATAAATATGAAAAGATTTTACGCTACACCGACTACGATTTAAACAGACTGAAAGATGGGAAAACATGTGATCAAGGTGGCGCTGTTGTAAAACAATAGCACAGTTGAAAAGTTAAACACCATGACTTTCAGCTATGCATGCAAAAAAACATTTTTTGAATAGTGTACACTGTGTAATCTGGCTTGTGACGTGAATTATTTAAATGAACACTCCATTGCAAAAATAAAAGTCAATATTTAGAAGATATGTCATAAATAAAACTTGCACATTTATTTATGCAATATTTTTTTCATCAGGGTTCTATCTAAAACAGGTTGCAAAAACTTCACATCTATTGTTTGCAGTGTTTGCAAGCCATTCAGTTAATACCCACCACAGAATTCTTGGGAAATATTTAAATCAGAAGCATCTCATTGAGAATTATGGATTATTCTAGCTCAGGGACTGAAATTTTTTAATTTTGTTAAAGACAGGAGGCAAATATTTGCTTATCCTTCTGTACTGAAACCCCCCCAGCAGCAAAGAAACAGTTAACAATGTGGATAAAAAAAAATCAACCAATCAGAATGTATATCAATAATATATAGTGCAATCAGACTCCTCCCACTTCCTCTTCATTTGAGATAAAATCCCTTCAGCCACTAACCTGAATCCAGCACCGTCCCTCGGCGCTGGGTCAGGGTCCGCCCAAGCTTCTACCCCCCAATGTTAGCTGGCGGGGGAGATCTGCCGCGCACGCATTAGACCTCCCGATAGGAAAGCATTATTCAATGCCTTACTATGGGGAAAATCTGACACTGGAGGTCCGTGGGGACGTCCAGCATCGATAACGGACCAGAAGTCTGTTCAGATTCCGGAAGCATCTAGTGGCTGTGTGGTTGACAGCCACTAGAGGCTGACTTAGAACTGCTATGTAAACATTCTCTGGAACTGCAATGTTTTGCATTGCAGCACTAGGTGAAAAGGGTCACAGCACCCTGACTACTTCAATGAGCTGAAGTGGTCTGGCTACCTACAGTGTCCCTTTAATATAATTTGATATAGAATTTAAGACTAACTCTGACTGAGCTAGCTCTAGTGTAAGAGGTTTAAATAAACTTGTTTCAAATAAACAGGAGTTCAAAAAACCAGACTAGCCATTAGGACTATGTATTTGTAAAAATGCAAAACAGAATATAGGAATAAAGGAACCACAGAAAATTGGAATAAAGGAACCAGTATTAGAAAAACATCGTAGGGAGGGGGGAAAAAAGGGTGGGAAAATATTCGCCTACTGTTTTTAATACAATTTTGATTATTCGTTCACTGAGCTAAAATAATCCCTAATTTTATGATAAAACAGGAGGCTTCATATTTGCTGTTTTTAAGCTCGGAAACAATAAATAAAGAGGCAAGTCAAGTAGGTTTTAAATAGGTGGTTTGAAAAGTAGATTCTCTGGACCAATCTGCAGAAGGTAACAAGTCAGACATAAGAGGTTAGACATAGTACACTTTACTATTTTGTTATAGTAAAGTGTACTCCATTTGGTGCATAAAACACAGTGTAGAAATCGAAGGAATGAATATAGAAACATAGAATGTGACGGCAGATAAGAACCATTCGGCCCATCTAATCTGCCAATTTTCTAAATACTTTCATTAGTCCCTAGCCTTATCTTATAGTTAGGATAACCTTATGCCCAGTGGCGTACACACAATACATGGGGCCCCGGTGCAAAACTTGATTCATGGGCACCTAACAGCATGCGCCACCCGATGGACCCCTTCACGTGCGGCCGGGGCTGCAACACATGGCGGCGGGCACCTGGTCGCAGCTGCGACCGCGGTATGTACGCCGCTGCTTATGCCTATCCCATGCATGCTTAAACTTCTTTACTTTGTTAACCTCTACCACTTCAGCTGGAAGGCTATTCCATAAATCCAATACCCTCTCAGTAAAGTAATACTTCCTGAAATTATTTTTAAACCTTTGCCCCTCTAATTTAAGACTACGTCCTCTTGTTGTGGTAGTTTTTCTTCTTTTAAATATAGTCTCCTCCTTTACTGTGTTGATTCCCTTTATGTATTTAAATATTTCTATCATATCCCCCCTCTCGTCTTTCCTCCAAGCTATACATATTAAGTTCCTTTAACCTTTCCTGGTAAGTTTTATCCTGCAATCCATGAACCAGTTTAGTAGCCCTTCTCTGAACTCTCTCTAAAGTATCAATATCCTTCTGAAAATACGGTCTCCAGTACTGCATACAATACTCCAAGTGAGGTCTCACCAGTGTTCTGTACAATGGCATGAGCACTTCCCTCTTTCTACTGCTAATACTTCTCCCTATACAACCAAGCATTCTGCTAGCATTTCCAGCTGCTCTTTTACATTGTCTTCCTACCTTTAAGTCATCTGAAATAATTACTCCTAAATCCCTTTCGTCAGATGTTGAGGTTGGTAAGGTATCAAATATTCTGTACTCTGCCCTTGGGTTTTTACGTCCAAGGTGAATTATCTTGCACCTATCTACATTAAATATCAGTTGCCAAAACTCAGACCATTTTTCTCGTTTACCTAAATCATTTGGCTTATTCCTCCTGGAACATCAACCTTGTTGCAAATGTTATTATCAGCAAAAAGACATACCTTACCATCAAGACCTTCTGCAATATCACTTATAAAAATATTAAAGAGAATGGGTCCAAGTACAGATACCTGAGGTACCCCACTGGTGACAAGACCATGCTTCGAATATACTCCATTGACTACAACCATCTGTTGCCTGTCACTCAGCCACTTCCTTACCCATTCAACAATATTGGAATCCAAACTTAAAGATTGCAGTTTATTGATAAGCCTTATATATGCAACAGTGTCAAAAGCCTTACTGAAATCTAGGTAAGCAATGTCTATTGCACCACCCTGATCTATAATTTTAGTTACCCAATCAAAAAAATCAATAAGATTACCGGTAGTTTGGCATGATCTCCCTGAAGTAAACCCATGTTGTCTCTGATCTTGAAATCCATGTGTTTTTAGATGTTCAGCAATCCTATCCTTTAACATGGTTCCCATTACATTCCTCACTACTGAAGTAAGGCTTATTTACACTATTAAGAATTGCATGTTCTGGGGGCAGAGCCTGAGTGCCTAGCAGACCAGATGTGCTCCTAAAGGCTCATGCATCTGGTTCCGAAATTTGGGGGTTTAAACCCAGGCCACCCGTGCTAATTGCTTGCTGCCGGTAACCTTCCTGACAACTCACACAAGCTTCTCCCTCACGCGATCACCTAAACCAAGCAGCCGCTCTCCTAGTTCAATGGCTTACAATCTGACACACTCAGCTGTCCCACCCCCCTGAACTGGTGGGGGTTATCCCAGACCCCACTGGCTTACTGACTGAGCCTCCGTCAAAGCAATTGCTCCGATGCCTGTTATGCCTGCAGCAGACCCACTCAAGATGGCGGAACACGCAACCGTTCCCAGAACAAAGGTCGTAACAGTTAATGAAGACTCACCAAGGTGCAGCAGAGCACACACTAGAACGCTTGACAGAGCACTTTGACAATTTCTGGGCAAAAGTGGAAGCCTGTCTTGTTGCAGTGCCGACACCTGATCGGAGCCGCAAGCAAAGAGGGAAGAGGCAGGAGGCGAGCAGGTTCTCCCTGGGCGCAGCTTCACAACAAGTACCTGAGTCTTCTCACTTTGACCTACCAGGACTGAGGGCCAGCAGGGATAAACTCCCTTTGGATCATGCACTCAGGTGGAAGATCCAAAGCCGCAGTCCATCAGGAGCTTCAGCCCCCTCCCCAGTGGAAGGACTTGCGCTCAACTGGGAGCATCTGAGTCCGTGGATCCATGAAGCAGGACTTGGTACTAGCCTGGGGCTGGGGAAACGGCACACGTGACTTCTGCCTCACAGAGCCTCTAAGCTGTCGCCCTCTATTGTTGAAACAGGGAGTTGGCTGAAACTGGACTTATCATCCTGGGCCCACTGCTAGTTGCCATACAGTTAGCTCTTATCCATATGCAACGCTCGCATTTCCTTTATGCTGTGCCTTTCCTATTATTTTGTGTGATATTTAGTCTTGGAGCTTGGGTTCGGTGCCAGTGGTCTCACCATATTGTATTTACAGTCAGTTTAGCACAAAATAAGCCTAACGTTAAGCGTGGAACTTCAAATTTCTATTAACAACAATTTCTTTTGGCATTTCAGTCTTTCTTGTTCCTTGTTTAATGGTTTTATTTCCCTACTTAAATACCTCTATCTTATCTCTGTAATTCTCAATCTTAGCTTTTGTTTTTCCTTAAATGAACTTAAATCAAATGTCCATCTATGCACCCCTCCCCCATCTCACCCTAATATACATTTCTCTCCACCAGTCTGATTTTTAAACATACCCGGTCCAACATAGAACTCAGAGCTCCATCAGCTGTTCCATGGCGATTTGAAACAGGTAGCCTTCCGGAAGACTGATTTCCCTCCCACCCCATGCTTATTTCCTCATTTATAGATAGTCTCCCACACAACTTTCAATCTCCTGAAATGATAGGTGCAAACACTGATCAGCACACCCTTCCAATCTCTTAACCCTATAGAACATATACCCTCTCTCTGGTATATCACACACCAATATTATATACTTTTATTTAATTTTTGTTTTTCGCGATTTCTGTTTCATTTTCAACTACACACCTCATACCACTAACATGAATCCAAATATAACCATACTGATATTCTTAATAACCATTTTTTAATCAAATTTTGTTCACACCACTACCAGCAGAAGCACACACCTCAAACTGGAACACAAATCATACACCATGGCATGCTCTGTTCCTTTAACTTATCTGCTGGTGGAGAGTTATAAACAAAAAATAGCCCTCCTACCCCCACCTCACAAAATTATAAAGTATCCCATTCACTATATGGCCAAACAAAAATGATGTCCAAATTCCTATTCCTTATGTTACTTGCCCTTGCAAATGATGTGGCGTCTAACCCTGGTCCCCCAGCTAATTCTAGCCCTAATCTCCTCACTAAAAAAGGCCTCTCTTTTGTGCACTGCAACATCCGTAGTTTACTCCCTAAACTGGATGCACTGTAAGCCTGGTGTTCCCATTACAAACCAAAAATCATTGTGCACTCAGAATCACGGTTAACAACTAAAATACCAGACACTGCCATTGCAATACAGGGGTATTCATGTTTTAGAAATGAGAGAGCAAAGAGAGGAGGAGGCATTGTTATTTATGTTGACTATTCCATAAAGTTTACCCCTTTAGAAAACCTTAGTCCTCCTGCCACCTTTGATTTCCTTTCTGGCACAATTGAGATCCTGTGCAGTAAATCAATCATTGCTGGAGGAATCTACCGCCCACCTAGCTCTCCTGTGCATTCCCTTTCTGACATAGCCCATCTCCTTAGTGAAACCATAGCTCAAAACCCTAAAAGTGAACTGTTGGTCTTTGGAGATTTTAATATTGATTGGATGAATCCTAAAAATAATAGTTCTTGCACGCTGTTTAAAACTTTGCAGCTAACGCAATTAATCTCCTCCCCAACTCGCATAAACATTAAAAGCCATAACCATACCCTGCTAGATTGGATTCTCTCCACTTCTCCTGATAGAATCCAGGAGGCCGGTGTTCTCCCAAACACGTTCAGTGATCACTGTTTAGCAAAATAAAGGCTATTAAATTCTCTCCCAAGGTTAAAATAACTAGGTCCTTCAAAAAATTTATCTTGAATCCTTTCTAAAGGACATCAAGAACCTCCCATGGCACAGATTAAACATTATCCCAGAACGTGACTGTGCTGTTGAATACTTTCAGTCTGAACTCCTACAAATTTGGAATTTGCATGCCCCGCTGCGTAAGGTGAGGGTAAAAGGAGCACATATGAACAGGATCACAGCTGACCTCATCCAAATGTACCAGTTTCGGGATTCTTTGTGGTCAAAGTTTAAGCGTACTGGCTCTATGAATGATCACTGTGCATATAGACAATGGCGAAACAGACAAAATTGGCCAATGCCCAATATTTCTGTGAAAATCTGAACAATAACATCTCAAACCCTAGAAACTTTTGGAAAGTCATAAATAAACTACAAACTCCCCCAATCCACTCCCAACCCTCCACTGTCAAAGTGGATAACAAAACCCTGCAACTTCCCTTAGATGTAGCAAATCCCTTTAACAATTATTTTGTCGGATGCTCTACTGCCCTGATTGCCAAGCTAATAAATGACACGCATCCTGAAACTACAAATGTGGATCAGGCCCACACTAAATTTGCAAAGTCCCAATATAGAAAAGTTCATTTTTAGACCTGTACCAGTTAGTGTCATTGAAAAACATCTTAATAATCTAAAAATGAAAAACCAGTCCGGACCTGATCAAATCCCAGCAATGCTGTTGAAGCTCAGTGCGCTGGCAATTGCTAAACCCGTCGCAACTCTAATTAACGAATCCTTGGTGTCTGGATACATACCCAAACCTTGGAAGACTGCGAGAGTAGTGCCTATCCATAAAAGTGGTGACACTACTTTGGTTACTAACTATCGCCCAATATCATTGCTCCAGGTATTGTCAAAAATCTTAGAAAAATACCATACGCAACTATGTGAGTACTACCAACAATCAAACTATCTGACCCTTGATCAATCGGGCTTTTGCCAGAATCACTCCACTACAACTGCCCTCTTAAAAGTTTGCAATGACATCCAAACTAGCATGGAACAAGGAGACATAACTGGAGCTATTTTCCTTGATTTTGCTAAGGCCTTTGACACAGTAGACCACGACATTCTGCTGCACAAACTCAACTCTTGGTGATCGTATGTATCGGATCGCTCGCAATATGTGTCCATTTCTGACAGCGACTCCCTCTCCCTCCCAGTCAAGTGTGGTGTTCCCCAAGGTTCCATTCTCGGCCCCCTACTAATTACATTATTTATAAATGATCTGCCTAATGTCTGCAAATCCTCAAATGTACACATGTACGCAGATGACACGGTAATCTATGCGAGCAATTCTGATCTACCGCAGCTTGAGGCTGTGCTCCAAGACCAGTTTACAGAGGTAGAAAAGTGGATTGCAAAAAACAAACTCTTCCTGAACACTGACAAAACTGTCACAATTATCTTTGGAACAGTACCTAAATTACACAATTCCCACTTATCCATCGAAACAAATTCAAATGGCACACTGACCGCAGTCCACTCTTTCAAATACTTGGGTATGATGCTAGACCCAATCTATCTTTTGGCCTGCACACAGAAAAGCTTACATCTAAACTTTATCCAAAACTAGGTGCCCTGTACAGAAACAAATCCTGCCTAAGCCCTACAGTAAAGGAAAAGATTGTACTGCAAATGCTGATGCCAATCATTGATTATGGGGATGTAGTATATGCATCTGCATCGCAATCCCACATTAATAAACTCAATACATTGTATAACTCGTTCTGCCAATTTGTGCTATAATGTAATGACAGGACTCACCATTGTGACATGCTAAAATAACTAAACTGGCTGTCGCTGGAATCCAGATGCACCCTTCATCTTTCCAGCCTTGTGTTTAAGAGCTTTTCTGGGAAACTTCCACCCTACCTGAACACAATGCTTTCCTCAGCTGTTCCCACTTCCTATCACCTGCGATCCAGTACCAACACTTTACGGAGTCTACCTCAATACAAAAAGAAAGCAGCCCGATCCTCCTTCTCCTACAGAGCACCACAATTGTGGAACGACCTCCCGCACAATTTAAAATCTTCCCTAAGCCTAAAGTCCTTTAAGAGATCCCTCTCTACATACCTCAAAACAGAATGCACCTGTCATGGTTGATTATATATTTCCTGCCTGTTCTATGTTAAATTTTGTATATATTGTGTATTAATATTGCTTTTGCATTTTATTGTACCCTAATTGTAACAATGCAATGATTTGTGGACCCAGGACATACTTGAAAACGAGAGAAATCTCAATGTATCTTTCCTGGTAAAATATTTTATAAATAAATAAATCAGTTATTGCTTATTATTTTAAAAACTGTACAATTTCTCTAAAGGTCATGATAATATTTAATACCATGGTTATTGATGTGCTTGTTACTGCTGTTGTGGCTCCACAAGCCCTCTTTGTCTTCATTTGCACAACAAAAATAAAGAATATATATATATATAAAAATTGGATGTTCTGGGTCTGACCCCCTCACCCAATTACATTTTTGGTTTTCCAAGTCAGCCCGTATGTCAGGATTTGCTATAAAAAGAGGAATTTCTGTGGTAAAATTATCAGGGAGCTGCATCCTGTGCAGCGCTCAGGGAATCCGCTCTTTCTGATGTGGACACTGCAGAGTCAGGAAAATAATCTGATGCACCTGCGTCACACTGTGAGACACTATGTTGCCTGTCAGAATTCTGTAAGCCTTGGCACATCATTTTCTAAGCATTTTTATCTTCTTTTAAACAAGAACTTTAACTAAATAACGTTATAAACAAATCTTATTTTTAACTTATTTTATTTTAACCCCTAAGTACCTCAAACTACCAATTTTCCACACTAACTACCACCAGCTAAATCATCATGAAAAAAAAAAAAAAATCAACCTTTAATTGCAAGTAAGTCACAAGACAGGGAAAGGTTAGTGTTCGAGAAAGGCTGCTAAATGGTAGTTTTGCAATATTTTATTCAACTTATTTTTCACAGGAACATAATGTAACTACGATCTGCCTCTCTGCACTTCACAATACAGAGTGAGGAGGATCAGATGTCCACACATTGGTGTGACTGGCTGTTACAGCAATGAGGTATGCTGTAACATCTGGATTTGCTGTTGCTGATATTCCTCAGACTTCAAGGCACCCAGTAACAACATTAACCCTACAATCACCAGCATCACAGCTTGCCAGTGCTAATAATGTTGTCATGCGTCCTTAAGGATAAGACATCACGGAAAGAAATTGTCCTATCATTGGTTGTTAAGGTGTTTAAGGAAGAGGAAAATAGGACAACATATACCTAATGTTTAGTTAAATTTTGGGTTGTGCAAAATCTATAAAGTGACTAAAGATGCATGCATCTTCAAATTGTCTGGAAATTTAAATTAGTCCCTATGGTAAAAATAAAGACACTAACCTCACATTAATCCAAGTAAGTAAAATAAATATGTAATGTGACTAGTGATAAGGCTTAAAAATTGTTGAAATTTACTCATAGGAAACATATGTAGAAAAATGTAAAAATGGATTCTGCTTCTGCTTGGAAATAAAGAAATTTTTATTGATATACATCAAATACAAACCAGGAAGAGCAACCTGTAGACCTACAACACAGCCTAATTTCAGCTTATAAACAGGTGAGGGAGTAGCAGCAAATACCCCTCATAGAACTGTGATAGGGCCTGAGCAAACCATAGTAGCCTTCTGTGTCCTGAATCTATATCAACTGAAATCAACTAGATGGGTCCAGGGAAACAATTTTCATTATGCTAATCATCCACGATTACCTCTACGGTCCATTCTTCTAGGAACTGAAATCTAGAGTCAGACAGCTTACTTGCATTCATAAAAGCATAGAACCACACCACGTACACCCACAGCTGTAGAATACTTCATCCAATAAGGAACAAGCTTAAAAGCCATATCTTAACCCTAGAACCAATTTGCCTTGCAAAATATTCAACCTTGAATCGTTACTCTTAAAACGGCTCCCCGAACACACTGTCTACTACAGGGGCAAACAATGCAAATTCAAATAAATCCTGCATCATAAACAAAACATTTGTTGAACATCCATAAAGCACGTCCATCTGGAGTTTATCACAGCTGCCTTTCCTCATCTCATCTCACATTATTGTGTCATGTGCACTGCAGAAGATACTCCAGAATGCAAGATGGGATTGTGCAGTGCTAGTTATCCAGTTTATTTGAGAGTCTACAGTGGAGGGGCAGCTTGATGATGAGCTAAGCAAGTGTGTTTTGCAGGGGAGATTCTGCGTCCCCTTTATCCTAATGCGCGGGCTCAAATTGAGCTAGGAGAAACATGGCTCCAAACACACAGACTACTGAGTGAGCAATACGAATGGCCAGCCAGATATGGTCAAATTCCTCACTCCTTTTTTAGGTGCTTCTAATCTAGGCCCAATGCACCTCCCTCCTTGCAGTGTTAGCTGGGACGGCACTGTACTTGTCCCTCGGCAGTATCCTCATCGTCAGATCCCCCACTTCCAGTCCCTGGTCCTCCCCCACTCAGTCCTGTGATCCTATAACCCATATTCAGCAGCATCACTTCCAGTGGGTCAGCATTCATCCTCCGCTGGTTGGCTTGGCATGCACTCTCCATGTCCTGCACTACTCGACGGTCTGGTCCCTCACTCTGTAAGGAAAATACATAGAGTATAAGATTCCAACATGTTTTAAACATTTTGAATATCTCTGTAAAAGTAGTGCATAATCAAATGTTTATAACAAACCCACAGAAGCAGCCAAAATCAGAAACAACAGCAACAGGATTAGCACACAATGCATGCATTGTGCTATGTAGCTCAATAGTACATAAAAAAGTAAGGATGGCAAAGTCAGGTTCAGGAAGGTATAATAATTGAATGCATATATCAGACTAGCAAAAAGTTATATATGGATTTTGCAGGTATTTTATAATCACACTGCTAATTTACTTATGTATTTTACCACAAGTTACATATTCAGTGCTTACTTAAAGGACCATTTTGGGTACTATAACAACTTCATCAAAGTTATGGTGTTATGATGCCAGGAGTTCCCTGAACTTTAGGGGGTTAAAGGGATTCTATAGTGCCAGGAAAACAAAGCTGTTTTCCTGGCACTGTAGAATTCTGCAGTGCCCCCCTCCCTTGCACCCTCTCCCGCATGGCTGAAGGTCACTTACTTAAATCCTCCTCTCCCTCGGCGCTGAGTCAGGTCCCCGCTCCCCGCTAACGTTGGTGGGGAAAACCTAATGCGCATGCGCGACAATGGCCACGCTCGCATTAGAATTTCCCCATAGGAAAGCATTATTCAATGCTTTCCTATGGGAAAAAAAATCTGATGCTGGAAGCCCTCATGCATAGTGCGAGGACGTTCAGCATCAAATAATGGACCAATTCCGTTTTAATTCCGTAAGTCCCACTAGAGAAGGAGTTAACCCTCAGAGGTATTTATTGCAGTTTCTCAAAAACTGCAATAATTACCACTGCAAGGTTAAGGGACATGGGACATTGCACCCAGACCACTTCAATAAGGTGAAGTGGTTTGAGTGCCTACAGTGTCCCTTTACACCGCACATACTTTTTTTTTTTTTTTTTTTAAATGAATGTGGAGCTACTGATTGGCTTAAAGCATCAGCTGACTGCTCTAACACTAATAAACGGCACCCCTGCCTGAGTCTTCTGTTATCTAGGATTTCAGAAAGTGGAAGGACACAGGGACAGAGCGATCTAGTGCTGGAACAGAGTTTGGGGTAAACCGTTCATGAATGGTTTACCCCTGAAATTGAGTAAGCACCAGGTATATCCTTTCACAATAACTTATGTTCAATGATGTTGCAATGGTTTCCAAATTAGTCCTATAAATAAACATTTTCAGAAAATCACAGTGAATTTCAAATGTAAAGCCAAAATAGCCAAACTGGAAACAAATGCTGCTATGCTTCTAGCATCTCTACTTTGGCCTTAAAAATGTGAAATTCATTGAAAATTCCTGCAAACTGGAAACAGGTGACTTAGAGATTTTTTCCAATTGAATTAATTTGGCCTAAAATTTGAAATTAATGTTGTTTTGTCAACATTTCACACTTTAAAAAAAAACAAAAAAAAAACCTAAAAATATATTCTTAAGGAGATTCTAGATAACTAG